TAGGGACTACTAGTTGCAGAGTCCGGCTGGGCAGCTGAATTTGTTCGAGGAACGCAAGCGCTGACGCGGAAGATTCTCGAATTGCGTGAGCTTGTTTGCTAGAGATTGTTGCTAGGTCTGTTGCACCGGTGCACGTGGTGCATGGTCAAACTGTGGAAAGTTGCAAAATTCATCGAAGGATCGCCAGGCTTCTCTATCCACTGCCATGTCTGCACCCTCATCTTCCATACGACTTGTAGGCTTGCAACTTCCTTACATCTCGGTGGAGGTCTAAGAATCATTTGTCTAGTCTGAGTTTCTGGGACAGGACTCAACACGCATAATGTTGCTTCCATATACAGACATGCAAGGGATCTAAACCCTAAGAACTATTGAGGCAACTTGAAAGCGGAAGAGGCACGGAAAAGCAAGCTACAGTCCTCCAACCTAATAAGGAACGCCAAAAAGGGATCCACAAAAGCCTACTAATGTCGTTCAAAGGCCTCTACAAGGGGCAGAAGCTATGTCCACTTCCATGTGAGCCATAATCTAAANNNAGTCGCCTATATAATCCCCTATATGACCCCCTTTAACGAGTTTAGACATTAAACCCAAACCGTTTATTTTCCCCTACATAAACACCTTTAAGCAGATAGACCCTAAACCCCTAAACTCCAAACCCTACAAAATCCCCCGTATAACCCTCTTTAAGGAGTTTCGACTACAGCTCATGTTGGCTAAGGGAGGTTACAACGCCATCCTCCGAGCCACGGTTTGCAGCCGCTTCTTGCGCTCCACCTCCTCCCAGGGTGTTTCAGGCTTCGGCTTTAGGGTTTGGGGTCAGACAATGGGCTGCTCACTGCATCCGAGTCTTCCTCCTCAATTCTGAGGCCTTGAGTGTCTTCATTCCTTAAACGCCTACACGCCAACCCTACACCCTAAACCCTTAAACCCTAAACCCAGCTGAGCTGAATCCATACTCCACCAGGACCGCAAATCCGAGAACTTCGCACTTCCCGCCTCCTGCCGAAGAAAGTCGCGCACGCACCTGACACCCAGAAACAAGGATGATTTCCAAAACTAGGTTTAGGGTCTAGGGTTTAGGGTCAGGGGTTAGGGCTTGGGGTTTAGGGTTTAGGGTCGAGGGTTCACAGTTAAGGGCAGTTCTCAGGGTATGTGGTATTGGGCTAAATCAGACACTCAGCGGGATTTAGGGTTCAGGGTAACGGCTTGCGGAGAAACCTTTGGAAGAAGGATACTTCAAACCTCCCCTAACCTAAAACCCCCCAACCCCCAGAATATCTAATATTCAATGTTCCGAACATAGTGTGGCATAATTACCACAATGGAACTAAACCCTAAACCCTATTAATATTAGGGGCCGGGATTATTCAAGTCCAGCCCGGAGGGCGTCTCTTCGAACCTTGCCCCCCGAAACCGCCAAACCCTGGACAACTCTCCTAAACTTTGTGCTAGGCTTTGGGGTTTGGGGTCCGCGCTTTAGGATTTGGGCTTTGTTTTGTAGGGTTTGGGGTTTAGGCTTCAGGGTTGGCGCTTTGGGGCTTAGGGTTTTTTATCGGGCCTTTTTCCAACTGCACGATCAGGGTTTGAGTCTTTTCCAACTGCACGATCAGGGTTTGAGTCTTTTCCAACTGCACGATCAGGGTTTGGGGTTTAAGGCTTGGGGTTTATTGGGGTTTAAGATTTGAGGCTTAGAGCTTCAAGTCTTTCATAACCCCTCGGACGTTTCGTCCGAATTGCATGCAAGATGTGCCTAGCCCACGTTGGCCTCAGATCCAGTGGGTGTAGTTGCGAACGAGTACACCTACACACTCACTGTGCCTCCTGGCGGCAATAAAACTTGAGGAGCTTGGGGCTCACGATGTGGGGTTCAAAACTTATAGGGCCTAGGATTTTAGCGTTTAGGGTTTTGGTTTCAGAGGGCACATAATTACGTGGAAACAGAGGTAACATTGGGGGCTCGGGGGTATATAAAGAGGTATATGTACATACCTAGTCTAACCTTGTCGAGGACACGTGTAACGAGCCATATCTATCCATTCAGCATGGTGTAACAGTCGCCTTCACCCAAGTTGCCAAGGCCACTTGCTCAGGCTCTGACTCTTAGTGTGTTTCTTCCAATGGCAACTTCTACGTAAGCATGGATTTGGCTTGAGTTCAAGGCGGGATGCAAAACAACTCCCCAAAGCCAAACTCAAAAACACCAAAGAAAAAAAACAAAGCAGCACCTTGACCTTGACATGTTGCAAGTTGATTCCGTTTCGAGGTAGCCGCGCAAGTGTGACTATGTATTCTCTGTTGGATTTTTGTACAGTACACGTCGCTGACTGTATTCAACAATGCCTGGCATGCGCTAGCCCTCGTGACTCAGCGGGCTCAACAGCTTGGCCTTGCCAAGCCATCCGCATGCACCCTTTGGCTGCCAGTACAGCTGGATGTATCAGTCCACCTCAAGGTTTGATATGTTAGGGTAACATAGGGTAATACATAGGGTAACATGGGGTAATGTAAGGGAAATATAGGGCCTTGTACTTGAGAGTTAGTTTGGGTTTAAGATTTAAGGTCTACGGTTTAGGGATGTCTAGGGTTTAGGGATGGACCCCTGCTTGATGGTTATGCAATGATACGTACAGCCACCATAAACAAATGGCTCACAGTTTGCTGTCCATTCGGCGCCGTTCCAACATAACCGAATGATAGCATGTGTAACTCGGCAATATGGCTTTCATGTTCCATATATACCTCAACAATCAATCAAAGCAGCAAACCGGACAGCTCTTGAATGTCCAAGTTTGAAAATTCGTTAGTGCAAACACAAGGCAAGCCGTCGTGCTGCCAAGCAACATGCTTCGAGAAGCATGCTCATGCATGAGCTTGAGCTCTGAAGTAAGCTTCTTGAAGAACACCAGTCGATCCTGCTAGCTGCTTTCGCAACTACATGCTACAACTTCCAACCAAGGCTACCACGTCTGACAAAAGCACTCGCAATCCAGGGAAATGCTCGGGCCTGCCTCCCACGCCTTCATCACCTCTTCGAACCTTTCACCTGCAAAGCAAGTTCATGAAACAAAACTGCAATTGTCGCGCGTCCGGGTGAAAGCGTATCCCTTTCGCAACGTTGCAAGGACAGCTTGACCGAGTAGAAAGGTGTATTGACAGCTCGTCTCTAGTCAACACAATAAGCTAACATGCTGGCTGTATACAATGAAACCTGAAACCTTTCCCACATCACGTCAGCGGGAAGCCTGAAAGTTCTCGGCAGTTGTCCAAATCCTGCACCAATGCCAAAACGTTCAGTGATGCGGAAGTTTTGGTTTTACAGATCGCTCCAAATCGCTACGGCATGTCAACAAAGCCGACAATGGGCGTAAAGATTCTTTGAATAACTTCCCTGCAAAACAGGATTGCGGAAGAACCCAATGTCTACCAGAGTCGTTTTTTCTCTCCTTGTTGCAACAACCACATGCAGCAGCAAAATACCTCATCAAAATCCGCACGTAACAGGGCAGCGACTACACACAGGAATCATAACGTCCGAAGGCCTGTAGAACATGGATCGCAATCCCAAACACCATGATTAAAAAATGGATTTCGACCTTCAAGGACATTCATCTTCACATGCTATCATGCTATTATTGAAAACCACATCCTGCCTCAGTTCCTCATTCTTTTGTCTACACTGTTTATATGCCGTTATGAGACCGCAATCAAAAACACGCGCAATATTTTGCACAAAAATTTGAGCCGTTGAAGCATACGAACTTGCAAGATGGCATGGTGCGGAAATCTTATATCAAGCAAGCATAAGAACAACAGACATCGCCACCCTTGTCGACCCTGTGCACACGGCAGATGCCTCTTCATCCCGCATGCTGGAAGCCGAAATTACAACAGCCCAGGCAAGCTGCGAATCAACTGCTGCTGGAGAGAGGAAAACGGAGCTGCATCTGCAATAACGTCCAACAACATACCATGCAGCGTACGTTTGTCAAACCTGTTCGCATTCCCACACATTTGTTAGCGAGCTCCAGCAGATGAGAAATTTCCCCTTGTTTATTTGTTTGCATGCTCGTAGTATTGACTCAAATATAATTACGCCATCACATGAAATACGAAATCCAGCATTCCGAAATATTTCTATTTCATACCAGCGCACAAGAGACGCAACAATGTTTCACATGGGAGAATGCCTGCACTGCCTACGCAATACAACGGCTTGGGGTTAGGCCTCACCACAACCCAACAAACCCGGGCGAAAGACTCAACCTGGGCAAAAAAAAACCAGCATGAATCAAAAATTGAGCAACATGAAAATGCAAGCAATAATCACTTTGAGCATGAAACTTCAATCAGACCCAGAATTGGCAGCCACATATTGGGGACAGAAAAATTAGCAAGTCGTAGAACTTTTTCATGCACGTGCAGAATTAAGCTGGGCAAAACTCAGCCCGCGCATGTCAAAACAATTAGGCAAGCTTGTTTTACATAGAAATACGCTGTGTGTGAACAAACATTGGTTACGCTCGCTCCACAGTCCGTCTAAACTTGCTCGCATTCCCACCCACTTGCTAGCCAGCTCCAACGGATGATAGTTTACAACACTTAAAGAATCCCAAAGATATGTATGCAAGGATCAACGGATATCAAAAAACCATTCCAACTCCGCACAAAATGAATTGGTTGAAAATGCACCGAGTCTCCAGTGAACTGTCAGTGCTGTCAAACGCATTCTGCTTGGTCGCACTGCTTTTGTTCAAGACCGACCACAACAAGCTGCAGAGTAACGCAATACTCTTTTCGTTTCTGGCAAAAACTACGTTTGAAAAAGCAGGAAAAAAGGTTTGGACCAAAGTCCAGCAGCGTTAAGTTGCTTGGTGCCTTCTTAAACAAACAGCAGGCTGGCAGAAGCTGAGCAGGCGAACGCAACACTAAAGCAGTCTGAGGCTAGTTCAATCTCAACGTTTTCACTTTGAACAACAGGGCAAGAAGTCTTCGTCTGTCACAAAAGGGTTGACGACAGCGGCTTAAATTTTTGGTTGGCGCATCCATCCAAGCCACGTCACAGCAGTGTCATCCAGAAGAAGGCAACCCACACTGCCTGGAGGCTGATTGGGAGAGTACGCCAGCGTCGCACACTGTACAGGGTCCGAGATGTCCGGAGTCGTTGCTAATGGTTTCATCTTTTCGAAGTCTTTCTTTCTTCCGCTCAGAGATGTAGCCGTTGTGAGGACGTAATGGGTCTCACTCCTATCGCAATTCTATCGAACTTTGCAAGACTACCCAAATGCTCAAGTTGGTGAGAATTTTAAGCTTACGTGGCATCAGTGATGTCGGAGGAGTAGAAAGTCAAGGGCGGGACAATGAGCAGTTGAAGGTATCCGTCTTGTCTTGAAGGTCACTCTGGGTGCTCTATCGCAACCTCATCTTGGCCGATGTCAACCAGAACCTCTGACGCAAGATGCTTCTACCTTTCACCTGTCTTCTTTGAAGTGGGGGTAAGTTGTCGGCAAGGCAGCAGCAGTGCGGCGTTGCCGACGCAAAGAGTCTGTAATGCAAAGCTCAAAGCAGCACCCTACCAGTCCGGCAGGAAGGCAATGCTCTTGAGCTGGCCCATCATCAACGCGATGGCTCACTTTCAATCGCTTGTCAGATGAACCCCGCATCAGCACATGGTGGCAGACATGCTCAGCATCGATGTGATCCAGAGGCTTGATTTCGTTTCCGGAGAACGACCACGCGGCTTCTTAAAAAGTGAAAAGGACAAAGATGCCTTTTTTCCGGGGTGTGGTCGCTCATGTTGGGTCTAGAATGCACGCTGATCCCAGGAACAGCACATGTTCGTGCAGGACTGGGACTCAAGGATCCCGTTGAGCTCAGACTGAGCTCCTGGAAAAGCCGTAGTGCCCACAGTTCCAGAGACCGGACTGTGGGTTAAGGTAAACTCGAAATGGAACGTTCTTGCATTTGCCTTCTATAAGCCAGAATGGTCTTGGTTTTTGATGCAAATCGCCTCGCAAGAGCGATCAAGAGTTTTGTATGGGTCCTAGCAGGGCTTACATGATAAGGAAAATGCTTTCGACGTACAATTGTAGATCAGTTTTTTTTGGGCTACACAAGGGAAAGAATGGCTTTGTAGATGACGGAGGTTTGGCCCCGATAAGATCGATCGGGTGAAAGAAAAAAGAAAAGAAGAAAGAAAAAAGGAAAAGAGAAAGACTGGAATGACTGGGGCAAAGAAGGCTATGGCAAAGGAAAAGGACAAAGGCAAGAGTGAAGGCAAGGGAAAGGAATGGAGCGATTGGTCCAAAGAAGGCAAGGGGCAAGGGAAAAGAAATGGGCAAAGATAAAGGCAAGGGCAAAGGTAAAACCTGGTAGAAGGGCATGTCATAGGCGCTTGGAGCACCTGGTAAAGGATTGTTGGTTACCAGCTGTTCTGACAAGTTTGCTTCGGACATAGCGTCTGGCAAGCGGTCCCTCTGTTGTTAGCTCTTCGTCATCCTTCTCTGCCTCAAGTGTTGGCATCTCCGTCAGCAGTGCAAAACAGAGAGTCAATCGTGCTGGTGTATTTAAGTCGCGCATGCTCATGATCGTTGAGCTTAACGACAGTGATCGAGAAAATTGATTTGACGATTTTTGCGCTTGAGAGTGATTGCGAGCAAACTGTGAACATGGTTTAGTTCTCTGGTTGCACTTGCATCGATGAACAGTCGACAACATGTGGTGATGCAGTTGTATGTGCAAGCGTTCCAGTACCTGACATGGCAGCAGATGACAGCAATGATGAGTGGACATTCTTTTAAGAAGGAAGATCAATTTGACAGATATATCAATACTCCCAAATGAATAATTCCCTTAGCTGCTGCTAGCCTGAAAATTCTCAAGTTCAAAAAAAATATCGACACTTATTCAGGATTCGGGATATCAAATTATAAAGATCTAGGATTTGGAGTTTCACGCATTGCTTTCTTTCTTATCAGCTCGCTTGTTCGCTTGCCGTTACGAATGCACGCCAATGACGATTCTCCGCTGCTATAAGCAGCGGATCC